GGGGTAAGTGTTTTACGGTGCTCGCAACTGCATAAAGTCATACCAACGCGCGGCACATACCAAAAATTTTCAGTTGGTAGGAAATTTTGAAATCTGCCCAGGTGGCGGCCGAACCCTACTCATATCGATTTTGTACCACCAAGGGATCTTTAACCTGCACAACTTGCACACGGGACCTCCGAGATTTTTCGTCCTTGTCCAAGAAGTGTAAATCTTACCTACCATAAGATGAGGGGTGTGGCAGAAAGACCGCTGTACAAAGGAAACAAGGAGAAGCAGTAGAGAGGCTACAGAAAGAGTCATGAGACCAGAGGAGGTGGGCAAAGGTGGTGAGGGGGTGGGGGCAAAAAGCGGAGACGAAAGCAAACGACAGAACATTGTTGGAGAGCAGGGAAGGATGTGAAAGGAGAAAATTTAAAGAAGAAAATTTTACGTCGCTATCCAGATTCAAACCCGGACCTATTGAGTGAGAGGCGAACACTTTAACCTCTAGGCCACGAGAGCTCCCAGATTGGAGGTTCTCGTGGTCTAGAACCAGAGGTTGGGGTGTTCGCCTCTCATTCAACAGAGCACGGGTTCGAAACCTGATAACGACGGAAAATTATCTCCCCTAAAATCTTCTTTCACTTCCTTTCCTGCTGTCTTACCAAGTTTTGTCGTATGCTGTGGTCTACCCTTTCTGCCCCCCCCCCTTGTCCCCTCCTCTGGGCTCCCGACTCTTTCTGCAGCCTTTTTAATAAGTTTTTTTCTGCTACTCCTTGGTTTCTTCTTACCGCTGGTATTCAGCCACGTAAGAAAGATCTAACACCTAACCCTCTCGGATAAGGGCGAAAAGTCTCGAAGGTCCCGAGTGCACGTTGTGCACGTTAAAGATCTTCCTGTAGTCCTATAATCGATAAGAGTAAGAGTAGGCTTCGGCGTCCACCCGGGCAGAATTCAAAATTCCTACCAAACTGAAAATTATAATCTGTCCCGCGCGTTTATATGACCTTATGTAGTTGCGAGCACCTTAAAACACTTACTGAAACAACAAACTGACCAAACTGCCACGTTGAGGATCGTCGTGGAACAGTCGCTTACGTACTTACTCTCTCTATAACGTCAGGATTTTAGGCGGAGACAAGGACTTTACAACAAATGGACTCTCCTCTCTCTCTTCGCGGCGCCACGAGCGGCACGCCGAGGTGGGGAGTAAATAATAATAATATGTCCGCCGACTATGGTCTGTCCCGGGCCACTTTCTCTAATTTTGGCACATCTAGGCCCTGGGCGATTGCTCATCTCTTATTGTGCCTCTGTAGCTTCCAGTTGGTCTTCCCCGCTTTCTCTTCCCGGTTGGTTTCCAATGCCATGTCTGATAAGGCAATCTCGTCTTTGGCATTCTCAGAATATGTCCCAGATATTTCCATCTTCTCTTTATTGTTTTTTTTATTGTTGTGTTGATGTCTTCAATTCCAGAAAATTCTTCGTAGACATTTTGTTTGGAAGCTTTTTAATTTTCGTTGAATTTTTCTGTTTGTTTTCCATATCTCTGAACCATACGTCAATACAGCCAAAATATTGCTATTATATATTTTTAATTTCGTCTTCAAAGAAATAATCTTTGACTTCCATATAGTCTTTAGTTTCACAAACGCGATCCATGCATTTTAAAGTCTTTGGTGGATGTCGTCAAGTCAGTCTGCAGTTTTGGATATAATGCTACCAAGGTACTCGAATTTACTAATTTCTTCAAGTGGTTCTCCATAAAGAGTGATGGGCGTAGTTTCTGATTATAGTCGTCGTACTTTTGTTTTGGGTATACATGTATTTATTATAAGGCCAACTTCTTCCGCAACTTTTGCTTGTTCGTCTGTTTTTGATTGCTTTTCAAGAACAGTCACTAGGGTGGAAAAACACACGATCTGTTTTTTTTCCGGACCTTTGTCTACTATGCTGTCTGAAGCCCCATTAAAAACACACATAACAAAGAAATCAAATTAAACAGTAGGCTACCACTATGCAGAGTGAGAAGTCATGTCTTATAAGATCATTTTGGACATGGCGTACTGTTTTCGGTTGTCAAAGATGCTTTTTGTGCATCATCTGTACTGGAAAAAATCTTCTCCATGCTGCAGAAATTTTGTGGTATGCCTATTCTTTTAAGGATTCCAAACTTTGAACGGCATGCAATAATTCACCATCTAACAAAATCTTAAACAACAAACAGAACTTCTTTTCTGTGCTTTATCTATTCTTGTCTTCAGGCCTTTGGCAAAACTGTGTTCATGCACGACTCTTCAACACAAGAAACAAAAACAATTTCTTTAACTTGAAGAATTATAATGTTATCTGTTAGTAAACTGAGGATCAAGGCTTTTTGAAAATCTCTCCTGGTGGACATGCACATGCACCCTTCCTCTAGACTAGTTCAGTTGGTTCTCCTCCAGATAAGCTTACTAAGAACGATGTACATGTCACATTACATTGCCCTCCATAGCGCAACATACTGCCTTAGGGTGGACGCACCCTTATAAATAATTTGTCAATTCCCATTTGAATGAATCTTATGATGTCTAATATATACAGGACAGTCAGCATAATACGATGTATTTCGGCCAGCAATCTTGTCACTTGGGCAATGTCGTCGGATGGAAAAACCCTCGAAGTGAAAAATTACTTGGAGAAGGGTCTTATTTTGTAACTGTTTTTCTCTTGATTACGTTGCGCAAAGAAATCATGATGCCCCCCTAGGCAAAACAAAATAGTGGTAGATACAGGAAAAACCAGAAACACCGTCTTTGTTCTCTAGTGTTCAACAAACAAGGCGATCAGCTGATCACTGGCCGTGGTTTAGGACAAGGGTCGTGGGATTATCCACGGCCTTGCGCACTGCTGTCAACAGTTTATTCATGCCTGTGTTGTGCCAGACAGGTGAATAACACGTGGGCTCTCTATATAAATACGGTTGTCTGACCTGTTGGCTCATTTGGACACATGTCACTACGCTGGAAAGTGTAAGAAACGGAGACAAGAAGGACAGTCAAAGATATTGTCTACTCACTACTTTTCTCTCACCTTTGTCTCAAAGGTTTTTCAAAACGTAAGCCTTGTTCTTTTTTGATAGAGCTAAATCTTTGACCTGGTCAAGCAAAGTCGCCTTTCCCTGTTTGCACTTTGAGGTTAGTCTGTAGATATTTTTTAAAGCTCCTATGTTTGAGTAAAATTTTTGTTTTGCGTGTTTTTAAAAGATATTCTACATTATTTTCGAAAAGTTGTTCATTTAAGAAGTAGGCTAATGGAATAATAATACAATTTAGTTGTTGTTCAATGTATGCTTAAGCTTTTGGCTTAGATTAATCTATAGGACATAGGTGCAGACAGGGAGAATCAAGATTTAATAATGGCAAGCCAATTTCAATCATGAGTTGTTGTTTGTTTGTTTTTGCTTTTTTAACGACTTTTCGTTCTTTAGTTTTATTTTTGGTTTTGTTGCTTTTTTTTGTCCCTCATGCCACACAGGGGTATTAATTATTGTACATTATAGAATATAACCGTCTTATAATTGTTCAGTGCTGTTTAATAAGCTGATTTCATTTAGGTGGTAGCCTGAACCTAGAAACTATCAATTCGCGATGGCACCTGCGATTTGCACTGAGAGCGGAGCCATAGAAAGTTATCGTCGCTAAACGTAATGAAAACAGTGTCAAAGATATCGCCGTAACAACATTACAGAATGTTAAGTTTAAAGGACCTGTGGGAACATAAAACTGACTTTTTACTTTTGCCTGTATGCTATAGCGCTTCTGTTGCCGGGCCTGAGGGAGGAGATAATTTCAAGATAGGCTTATCGTGATTTTGAAAATTAATTGAAAAGACGACATTAAAATAGACTGAAATGCGTTATAATGTAAAGTCTGATTTTCTCTTCCACCCTATTTCGCACTCGAGTTTTATGCATTTGATCGTAGTTTTCGCGTGATACCTTTAAAAAAACACCGCCACACAAAATCGAGCCACCACTTTCAGTTTCGGCCTTTAAAGGTATCACTTCTCCTTTAACCGAACATTCGTTTTGGCGTTCTTCCCACTTCAATTAGCCAGGAAGTCAAACTTGTCGCTTTTGTCTCTCGTGGACTTGGTTGACCTCAGATACATTATCTCTTTGCACTATATAACCAAGTTCCAAGCATGAGCAGGCGTTCAATTTTTGCCAGACTTAGGAAGGGTGTCCTTTTGTCAACGCTCTTCTTTCTCAGACATATTTTCGCTTCTTCGTCAGAGAGGAATAAATATAGCAGACATGTGTTTTTGGTTGAGTTCTATGCTTTGAGCGCACTTATATATGGTTCTCTACATTATTTTCCCCTTTAATTTTTTAAAGAAGAAGAAAAAAAAAAGAGTTACAAAATACATTACCCGTTGCTACGTCGATGTGATTACAGTAGTCCTATTTAATCAAGAAAAAGAAAGAAAAGAAAAACTGAGACAAATAATATATTAGGCCGTTATTATCTCACTAGTTTGTGATTATAAAACTGACGGAATTCCTACCGCGTTATCGAGTCGTCTCTCACTTGTTTAATAAGTATACTATTTCTCTGTATCTGCAGCGACTTCATCATCCCTGGACTCACTCACTCACTGACTGACCAATGGCTCGCAGTTCCAGCCGAGTGGTGTCAATGAGCACCAACTACACAGGCCTGGCGGGAGTCCACAGCGAGGTGGCCACATGCACGGCAGCCAGGAACAAGGCTTTTGACCGGAGGGTCTCAGACACCATGACCACCGAGCAGGTAACTATTTTGTTTTAAAACGTATGTGGTTCTTAAGCCCCCATCGACACAATTTAGATAATTTTTACTGCCAAAGGATTGGTTCTGGCTCTAAAGAAATTAAAAAGAAATTATGAGTTACTTTACTGATGACGATAATGGTGATGATGATGATGATGAGGATGAGGATGGTTGTTATTGTCATTGTCTATTAATTATGGTTTTAAAATTGTTTTTAGTATTATCATTGTTATTAGTTTCATTATAACATTATTAGAAGTAGAAGTAGCAGAAGTGATGGTATTGCTATTGCTGTGGTTGCTGTAATTGTAGTTGTTGTTGTGTTTATTGCTGTTCTTATCCCACTAAGTTTGTTGAAATAGTAGCAGTAACAGCAACATCAGTGTTAGTAGAAGTAGTTTTATAGGAATAGTAGAAGTTGAAGCAGCAGCAGCAGCAGCAGCAGAAAAACAGCAATAGCAACGACAACAACAGTCAACGTATGCACACAATGACAAAATGTTTTTCACCAAATGCATGCGAAAATACAATTTTGCGTGTGTTCACAGGTTCTTCATATGAAACAGCTCAACTCCATCGGCACTAGCAAGAAATCTCTGGAGCAGTCCATGCTGGCATATGCACAGAAGATGAAATCTATTCTCGACAGTCGGACAAACAAAAGTGAGCAAACAAAGAACCCCACATCAGACTCCAAGGACAACGCCAAGTGGGCGACACTGTCTCACAAACCCGCTTCGCAAAAACTCTCACGCAATTTGCCTTTTATTTACGAAATGAGCAACGATGTATCCATTGGTAAAATCACGGACTCCTCCAGGCCCCAGGCTGCCAGAGTGAGCCAGAATAATAAAGTGGACAATGTCGGAAGGGTGTCAATAGATTCTGGAATCAGCGTTGACTACACGTCTGAGTCTTCTGACACGCCCCTAGAGGGTTATTTTTCGGATACAGAATGTCAGCGTCGTCATTCCGAAACGCCCAGAGACAGAGACAGATCAAGTTCTCCGGAGAGAACCAACAGCAGGAACAGCGTGCTGTCCACTCAGTCTGAGTGTATTCGGGACTCCACTAATAACGCCAGACGGCGGCGAGAGAGGCGCAAAAGATTTGGTGCTTGCTGTAAACCCGAACTGCCGACAGTGCATGACACAGAACACACGGCAGAAGACAACGACACACCAGAGTATAACCCTTCGTCTGAAGTCTACGTAAACATCGCGCCTTTCCCGGACATGATGGGGGAAAGAGACGCTCTCGTACCGTCCTATCTCGACCTCAGTGAAAACGTGGAGGAATCAGAAGACCTAGAACGCAGAACGAAAATACTCAACCCACTCACCAACACCAGGAATTGGGTGAACCGAGACAATAACAATAATATGTACTCTCAGAAGCACCCCCCTCCCCCATCAGTGATGAGACCAAAGGTCATCCATTCCCCCAGCGTCAGCAACACTCGCCTACGTCGGGTCAGTCAGAACAAGAAACAGTCCAAACCGTACCACAAACTCTTTCGCTACTCCGACTACGTTGAGAACGCCGACAGCGAAACTGACCGTGATTCTGTGGACAGCAGCAGCCACGAACTCTCGTCCAAACTCTCACTACCATCTCTGACTGACAAACTCGCTCTACCATCTCTGACTGACTCGGAGTTTGAGGAGATTCTAGCCGAGCAGCTTGAGCGACTCAGTGAAGACCAAAGCCCAAAACCCTCGTTCCGAGAAAGAGGCTCGTCTCTCCCTGTCCGGAAGACGCGAGGTGTGGTCACTTTACTCGGGAATCTGGAAGAAAACGACACAGCAGTGCTGAAATCTGTTTTGAAAACTGCCACAGACTCGGAAAACTACGAAAAGAAATCTGTTCGCTTTCAATTGCCAGACATTTATCAGCCACCAAATACGTACAGGTAGCACGTGTACTCAAGTCAAAGGAATCATAAACATGTACATTGTGTATTTAAATGTTAACTTTACTCCCATGCCATAGTCCCTGGATCTGACTGTCAGGTCAAGATGGACAAATTTTAATACAACTTTTGAAACATTATGATACTGGTTATTTTTCTTCCACTCACAATGCCTTCGTCATTTTCTCACCCATCATTTCAATTAATCTTTTTATTTGTTAGAATCCATTGAATTTATATATTGATTCAGTCATTACGCCATTCATTCATTAATTTGTGGCAGGTTCACACATTCTACTGTGCTGGTGGTTGGTGCTACTACTTCTTTTCTTTTTCTCTGTTGTTTCTGTGCGTATTATCTTGCTTTTTCCCCGCACAAGTGAAAGTGACCATTTTTGTGTAGCTGTGCATCTCTCGAGTCAAAGCTGACACTAAAAACTAATCTTTCTACTGATTATTCTTCTCCTTTGTATCATCATTGTTATAGCATTTTGTGATAAATTATATTTATTAAATTGAAGACTGGCAGAGGTATACCATTGGAAATCCAGCATTTAAATAATATATGTAAATGTAGGGTCTTCAATGGCTTGTCTGCTTCTGTCTTAATCAGCATATTGCGTGTAATTGGGATGACACAACAAACACTGGTAGCCTATACTCTATTCTGTAGCCTTCTTGTGAATAATCTATTCATCAGTTTCACGTACATCAGAATAGCAGAAATAGAGTTGCTTCCAAAAGTATTTGTAGAAACAAAGCCAAAGAACTTATGGCTTTTATATCACTGCTGATTCTGTTTGAGGGAACAAAAACCAGAATTCTCGATAATTCATTGTTAATAGATCTAACCGTTGTCCCGTACTCCTTCAACCGAAGATTGACAGTCCTGTTCCCGTGGATTTCGAGTTTTGGTCTGCAATTTTGCTTCTCAACACAATGGGGATTGTTTTAAAAATTAGGTCTGCGAAATAAACGGTGCTCTCCAATAGGAGTTGAGGGAATTGAAACTGTTTAAACACATAGAAAAGACAGTGTAACACTTAATAGTTATACTTATCTTAAAGATTCGAACCATGGTCGCAATTTTCGTTTAAAAAAAAGAAGGCACCAAACATCTTATAACTGTTGTTAGTTGGTACATTAATTTGTTTGTTACAGTCACCTTTAGAACCATAATCTAAAGCTCTGATTCCGTCTGGATTATCGGAACCCTGCTAAACAAAATAAACTATAAAAACACAGATCTACAACTTTGTTGATACGAAACACCACCACACCATCGAGAAAGAATACTAATGATGTAGCCGAAGGCAAGATGTATGACAGAAGGGCTGAGGGTGGGCAACACACGATGTAGACCGGTAACACCGAGGCAATTCAAGGCATGGACTGGCCTAAATATGACAGAGTGCCTGACGGCAGCGAGCGACTGTAAGCAATGGTGGGTCATTACAAGTCAACGTCTGACCCAGAGATAACACCTCTAGGTATCCAGGTATCGGAACTTTAAACCTGGTAAATGTAACGTATGTAGACAAATAATAATGTATGGGCGTGGGGAAGGAAGAGAGTTGGGAAGGGGGCAGAATTTACAGTGAGCTCAGTAGAAACCAGA